ATAGTCTCCAGTATATAACCCCTGTAGATACTCCTGTAGTTTCCTCAGTTTGAATATCATCTTGGACTTTGCTCTACCTGCCCAATCCTCTCTCAGACTTTGGTCCATGTCATATGCCATTCCGGACTCTCAACTCTAAATCCGCTTCTCTGGATCTCAAATGATCTGATCTATCTTTATCTCCCTTCCGGAATCCAAACCCTATATCAGCGCCCAACCCCATTTAGACTGCCCCTGTCTCCGGACTCCAGTTAACCATGTTTTCCTTTTGATTATTGATCTGTTACATACATTTCATTTCCGGTGTTCATTATTTGTGATCTGTCCTACTTACTAATAGACTCTGCATATGCTTTGTACATAGCCTTTATGTTTGCTGACTGATTCCTATATGATACCTACAGTATATAAACCTCCTGTAACTCTTGGAAATACTCCAGTTCAAATATCATCTTAGTTCCTGCTCATTCCTGTGTCCTCTGGACTTGAGATAAGTCTCTTGTCATATTCCAAGTCTTAGGATTGCATCCTAGACTACATTTCCAACTCTACCTTAAGGGTAGTCCATCCCCTGTTAGTTTCTAGTCTGGACTTCATCCAGATTAGTCTTATCCACTTGCCCAGGTAATATCCGGACATCCATTATCTGCCCTAGTCAAATCCCGGAAACTCCAGACAACTGTTCTAGCCCCTGGAAATTAAGGGCACATACTTGGGAAAGGGACACAGCGTACAAGCTGAGGCCAAGCCCTTGTGATCCGACCCCCTTGAGCATGCAACCTTAACAGTCCAGCTAAGTCTGTCCTATCCATCAGGCCTAGGGATTGATTCCCTAGGCCGGAGCTCTGCCTTTCTGGCACTTACCCTCTTTCCAGACTTAGGTCCAATCCCTGTCCCTCTGACTCTACCTTAGAGTAGTCTACCTCTGCTTGTTTCTACATTGGACGAAGTCTGATGTAGCCCCTGTTCCTTCCATACCTTCAGATGTCCCACCCTCCAAACCTTTGGATGTCCTGTCCTCCTAACCCTTGGACGTCCTATCCTCCTGTCCTTTGTACCTCCAGACCTCCTGTCCTTTGTACCTCTGGACATCCTGTCCTCCATCCTCCTGTCCTCCTGTCCTCTGGACCTTCAGACCCTTGGACCTCCTATCCTTCCATCCTGTTTCCTGTAGAAGTATTACCTTGCAGTGGGAACTCTCCTGAGCACTTCCTGCATTCTGGAACTCTCTCACACTCCTCTGGACATTTCCTGTGCTCCTCTGGAAGTCCTCTGGACTTCATTGGACCATCATCAGACCTTATATGAAATGAAGGGCACATACTCAGGTAAGGAACACAGCATATGAGCTGAGGCCAAGCCCCTCTGAGTCAGTCTCTCTCTCCTTTGAGCAACATGGTTCTTAACAAGGAGGCTCATCAGGCTTGTACAATACACAAGCCCTCTTAACCTCATCACAAAGAGTATTAATGGTGTGAAGAAGGTGGTTGTAAGGTAAGGCAAAGGGACATCATCAGAAGCGATAGAGCTATTGCCAGAAGAACCTGAAGTCTCTGTCATAGAGAGAGGGGGGAGGGGGGGAAGCAGAGCTAAAAGATAGACTGATTGTATCATCACTGTCAAAATTGGACCAGTCATCTAGGATATCCTGGTACTGTAGTTTGGCCAATGCAAGTTCAGCCTGATCTATAATATTCAGGAGTTCTTTACATGCAGATTGACAAGGCATGGTAACAGTAGGGGCAGGAGTTGGGGGGATCAAAATTCATATCCATTCTGTGCATATGTGATGTACTTTTTTTCGGAGTTTGAATTTTTGGAAAAATCCAAACTTTTGTCTCATGCTGAGCATGTTGGTCACAGTTGGTGTCATCATTGACCTCCCTCTTGAACCTTGATGCTCACTCACAGCACTGAGCAGGACATCATCAAATTTCTAGGTATCATCCACCCAAGGTAAGTAATCTCTATGCTTATTGCAAGTTGCAGCTAACATTGACCCTTATCTTACAGGAAATCTATTCTAGTCCAGGTCCCATACATGTTGCATCTGACCAACAGTGCCTCATCTTTAGCGAGCCCCTTGTCCATCCTCTACCTTATCATCATTCCCTCCACCTTCTCCACCTACCCTCTCAAGAAGCTGACTCTATATTCGTTCTGATCTGGCTGGCTCAAGGCTCTTAGTGATCTTGTGCACTATCATATGACCATAGCTGCAATGGTTATTAATAACCAATTGAAAGGCCCAGCACTAACTACAGACACTATATCTAAAGTGGCCATGGATATCAAGCCAGAGAAGGAGTGCTTGGGAAAGAGTTCACCCTTCACCTGGTATTCTTTCATTTTCCTTCCTCAGCTACCCGGTATCTTTCTCCTCCTCCCTGTTAAGGTCATACTCAAGGGCTAAGCAGATCCTAAGGGCTTCAGCCTCAGCTTGTGTGCTGTGCCCCTTACCTGAGTATTGCCCCTTATTTCAGGAGGACAAGATTAACACATCCAGAGGGTCAGACGGGTAGCATAGTGGATCTGGATGACTTCTGGATGTAGAATAAGTATCCTAAGGCTAACCTGGACAAGTCCAGACTAGAAACTAACAGTATGGATTGTTGTAGACAGAGGCAGATATGGACAGACTACAGGAATCAATCCTAAGTCTTGGAGGGTGATGAGAGTAGAGGTACTCAGGTCCAGAGGACAGGAATGAGCAGAACTAAGATGATATTCAAACTGAGGTGTTATAGAGATTTACAGGAGGTTATATACTATAGGTATCTAACAGAATGATCAATCAGCAGGATCCGAGGCTATGTACAAAGCATATGGATAGTCTATTGGTAAGTAGGAATGGATCACAAATAATGAAACAGAAATGAAGCATAGGTAATGGATCAGTGAGCAGGATGGATATACAGATAACTGAAGTACTGGAGTCAGGGGATTACCAAAAGGAGATGAGTGCTGGTTGTGGATTTGGATGAATTGTGGACTGGACCAGACAAGTGGGCAGATTGGATGATGAGATATTGGAGGGGGATAAGATGTGGATTGGATCTGAGATGAGATATGGATCAGATCTGAGATCTGGATATGTGGATATGACAGAAAGGAGATGAGCACTGGTTGTAGATTTGGATGAATTGTGGACCAGACCAGACAAGTGGGCAGATTGGATGATGAGATGTTGGAAGGGAATAAGATGTGGATAGGATTGGAGATAAGATGTGGACTGGATCTGAGATGAGATATGGATCAGATCTGAGATCCAGATATGCAGATATGACACTCCCCCCCCCTTAGTACTTGATTTATTCTGTCTGGCTTTCCCTACCTATGGTACCTGGTATCTTTCCTCCCCTCATCCTTCCCCCCTTAGCACTTGGTTTGTCCTGTCCAGCATTCCCTACCTATAGCCAATTTGTTTTTTTTTGGGGGGACTTCAAGTTGTTCTTTTTTTTACAATTTCATTCAAAGTTGACACACAAAATATGACATGCATTGGAGCATCTACTACTTGTTGTGAACCTACATTGCAGTTACTTTTTCTACCCTCTCTAAAGTAAGACTTTCTCCTGTGTATATATCATACTTTGAAAATCCTAAGTGTCTTAATGTCTGACTTCATGCTGACTCACCAAGCATCATTTACAGCTGATTCCAAAACTATGTGGAATCACAAAATCAAAACTTGAGCATCGGAAATGGCCGAACAAGGACCCCGTAAGCACATGACTGCGAGATTTGTAGTAGTGCTAGTGTAGTATATGCAATTCACTGAAAGACAATGTCATCACCATCAGATTCCTCCCCAGAGACACCTGGATTCATGGCAACATTCATTATTTACCTTGATACATACACCAAGACTACTACTGAAAATAATGGCAAAGCAAAAACCAAGGAAGTGAAATCTACAAAAGTCAAGGAACTAGTCTTTCAAGTCTCTGAGTCCAACTACATCAAATTTCTGACAACAATTCTCATGAAGCACGACAAATCACACTATAGGATCACTGAGAGGAAACTCATCACCGAACATCAACATTTCAGGGTCAGGTGCAATGTTAGCAATACTATTCATAAAAATAGCACATTTTTCTTCATTCTGTTCGAGAGCATAAGCAGAAATGCATTTGCACTTGAAATGCAACCATGAAAATGTGCAAAGAAGTGTTTGCAGAGACACAAGCACACCATGGCGAGAGTGTAATTCATGCTGTAGCTCATCGAGATAAATAGTAGGGTGGCAATGAAGAATGGCAGTGATGAAGGCAATGTCATCAATGGTGAGGGTGTGACGCCGGCCTGTATGCTTGCTGTGGATATGAGAGTGCTGTAAACTCCAAGTCAAGGGACAGAGCTGTAAAACCTTGTACACAAGAGTCTTTTTTACTCCAAGTAGATGGCAGATATGTTTAATGGAGTGCCCACATCGATGGAGAACAGGGATTCGAGCCTTTAGATCGTTCGAAACAGTGCGTGGCGGCATTAATGAACGACACAGACGCTGCGCAGCGCAAATCTCACAGTATGCTTACGGGGTCCTTGTTCGGCCGTTTCCGACGCTCAAGTTTTGATTTTGCGATTCCGCATAGTTTCGGAATCAGCTGTAAGAGTTCTTAAACCAAGAGTTTGAAGTGTTTAGCCAGCATCTTAGCGAGTTTTCAAAAGTTTCAAAAGTTATATTGAGTACCACTATTGACAAGCATGTAGTGACGGACTAAACTTCAAGTTTAGTCCAACGTTTCACGTGACAATTAAACTTCAAATTTAAGCAGACGCTGAAAACCCAATTATATTTCAAATTTTCATTGACGTATGATTGGTGGGAAAATAGTTGCCGATGATTCATATTTTAAATTTCGCACAAAACACTGCCGAAATTTGAAGGTATGTACCCATCTTTATGTTAGTTTATACTTCAAATATTTTCTTTGCATTTTGTACAGCATATAAATTACTCCTAAATATCGCAATCTGGAATTCTAAATGCTGCGGGAAAAACTCGATAAATATTGCGGACCCCGTAGTGTCAGCCGTGAGGGCCAGCAGTACTCGTGGAGCGTCTAACTGTCTCATCTGTTCACTGGTTCTCTGATGGCCGGCCAGTCTGACATCCTGACGATGACAAGGGGTGTCTCAATAAACACTCTTCCGGTCGAGGTTCGTAGTTTTCAGTTTTCACCGAGACTACTTGATACCTAATAGATTTTGTTCATCAGCTTCTCTACGAGATACAGCTCTTCTCTGCATCTCCCTCTCTCCCTCTGACATGTAAGACTCTCTACAGGATATTCAGCGCATCTCCGCCCTCCTATCGTGTCCAATATCTTATCGCATCTATCGAAGCCGCACAAATTAGGGATGACTTGATTCCCTCGAAACTATTGCGATACCCAATTTGCACAGTGGACATATTAGAAATGTTGTTTCGAATATCAGGCGATATCATACCTTTAACCTGGATACCAGAACTCCCAAGACGCCTCTTTCGTTCGCTCACACCCAAGTCGCGCGCAAAGACGCCTTTGTGGACAGATCAAGACCATCCGCTCCCCTTCCTAAAATATTTGTTCACTTGTCCGAAAATCCGTCCCCCAGACGTCAACTCGCATGATGGCTACGCCCTCACGAAAGCTGTCCAGGCGGGCTTCGTGCCTCTAGTTCACTTTCTTCTTGATCATGGCGCTTCCCCTCGTTGCAAAAATAACATATCAATCCTTGTCGCTATCTACCACAAGGATCTCTCGCTTGTGCGACTGCTTGTAGAAAGGGTGGATTGCCGGGAACACAGTCCAGAGGTATTGACGCAGAAGGGGAAGAGGCAAAAATCGGAGGATCGAGTGCAAGTAACACCCGAAATGCTCAAGGTTGCGGTGAAACTCGATGCGCGGGATATTGTGGAATATTTTATGAAAGAAAAAGAATGTGTGCCCGATTTGCAGACTCTACAGATGATGCGATGACTTTGTAAATCACAACGTCCATCCAATTCATCGTGGAGTCTCATGTTCAAGCCATCCGTACTTCTACGGGAAGTATGTCATAGTGGAGATACAACGCTACCTTCAGTCAGGAGAATCAATACAAGTCATGAAATTGAACATTGATGTGACTACGTCCAAATTGATACACGTTGTCAGTACACTGCTAAAATCCAATCAATTCACCGCTGGTGTCCGCATGAGTACAATGTACGAGATGCATTGAGATGACCAATACAGAATATACTGAGGATGCGGCCCAGTCAACACCGGATATACACAATAAGGCAGCCACTTACAACACAAGGAGAATACATGGTTGATACAGGGACGGGATTAAATGTCGTCGATATCGACCTCCCCTTCGTCGCCGAATTCAAAAGTACACTCTCCATCCTCCTCGGGGAAGGTATCTGTCTCGTTGATTTTTGCATTCTCTGGCAGCTCGCCGTAGGCCTTTACTATTGTACATTGGATGAGTCTTCATAAGCATGTGATGAAAGGAATTAAATTGCGTACGATTTCTTGCCTCATCAGCCGTATACTTAACAATGACATCTGCCTTGTCATCCTGGAAGTCCCGCAGAGAAAGGAGTACAATGTCTCCCTGGTTGATCCACACCTGAAACAACGACCTAAACCGAGCGCTTACAATCTACAGCATGAATACTGACCTTCTTTCGCATCTTACCACGAATGTGGGCCAGCCTCTTCTCCCCATCAAAGCACATTGCCTCGAGACGACCATTACCAAGCATCTTCGTTACTTGTGCGTATTCTTGTCCATCTTCACGGAAGACTAATTCACGCTTGTCGTCATCGTTTTCGTTCTTTCCACGTCTGCGATTCTTTCCACCCTGGAGAAATATGAGTTCAGCGCTGGGCTCGCCCCACAATCACATGGGAGAGTGTGACCTTTCCTTTATTCTGAGTGAGATGATCAGCTTGAGTGATTGCGACAGAGAATGGTAATTTACACACCTTTGGCATGACTAGTTCCTCTCTGCGTTGATTTTGGCCTTGTCGCTAGATCGGGATAGCGAGGACAAGATCACGGTATAAGATGGTATTGAGCTGAGTGCCGTGACTCTGGTGTGGAGGCGAGCAACTTATCGATTATAAATTTTGGATAGAACCTGAAAAGGAAGCATCGGGCCGTACTGTGGCCGGCATTCTCGGAGTCGTTTACGTAACATTGTACAGTAGCGTACTTACAGCAACAATATTGCAGTCGATACCTAAGCTCTTATAGGGCTTCATAATCTTGTTGTCGCATGGCTGAAACTCTCTTAGCAATTTTGCTCGTAACCTCGTCAGCAAAGGGGCCAAATGTTGTTTATCGATGGCCACCATCCGTGGAGAATACTAGACCCAGACTCTCCCGTCCGCGTCCACCTGTCGACGGTCTCGACTTAGACAACCCTTGGCGTGCATCACATTACTCAGATAATTCAAATGCCTTAGCCGAAACACATGTTGAGGGTGCCGTAGATGTCAATATAGATGACTACGCGTGGAGGAGACCCACTGAGAGTCGCGACAGGTCCATGTCTTTCTCCCGTTCCACTATTCCGGCATCAGGCCGTGACTCTCCTTGCAACGATGAGCGAAGGGAAATTGACCCCGTCGCGAATGAGTACCAATGTTTGTTCAACTACACTGCCCAATTCCTGGCTGGAATGCTATGCCCGCAGAGACACTTATGTCACCAGAAATTTGAGCTCATCATTGATAACCTCGTTTTCGCCGGCCATCCTGTCTGCGCGGAACCTGACGGCACGTGGAGCTTCAAGCCAGAGAGATACAAACCTGGCTCACGAGGTCGAGGGTCTCGACATCGGGAATCTAATCTACCAAACAAAGATAGCTCTGATGTCTCTCTGGGTGGAGATACACACTCTACCACGACGCCCAAAAGCTCGTGGCTGCACATATTTCATCTTGTCCTTGTGTTCGACTTACCAGACCCGTCATCATCAGCCTCGGGGAATGTTGCAAGATATTTCGACACGATCTATGAGCAAATTGCATTCACTGTCACTGCTGTGCTCTTCCAAGAACAGGTCTTGTCAAACTTTGTTGAACTGGAGTGCGATGCGATTGGTTCGCTTGAAACCGAGTATATGGTAAAAGGTCAGCTGCGTCCGGCACTTGCGGAATACATATCGCTGACGTGTATGCCTAGGAGAGCGTTTCTCTGACTTTGCATCGCATGCACAACGAGTGTCATCCATTGCTACAGCAATGAAAAATCTCTATGATGCTATAAAGTCATCTAACATGGCCCACGTCACTCTCAACGATCTCCCCCTTGAACTGCAGCTACCCCCTTATCTGGACCATTTATTGCACAGCGAAGAGGAATTTGAACTTGAATTCGTGGGTCGTCTCGAGAATCAAACCGATTCTCAACTATGGGGCCGCGAGCTCAGTTTTGGGTGGCGCCTGCCAGCCCTTGTGCCTTGGAAGAGTTTGCTTCTCCTTGATACCGACCAGGAACTGGATCCGTATGTGAACTTGAGAGGGTCGCACGTGCACGCTGAAGAGAGAAGTCTGGCAGAAGGCCTGATCAAGTTCCTTGAAACTGCTTCTGTCACATTATCGTGGGTCTACTTTCGTGTCATGGATATTCAAGATGACAGCGTTTTCAGACTGGCAGACATGGCAAGTTTGCTTGACTGGGACCTACATTCCCAGGTATATCCAACTGTTCGCTGGTTAGTCCACCACCGACGGGCCAAGATTGTTGATACAGTCCACAATGGATTGAAGACCATCTTTTCGATTGCTCCCAAGTTTGATAAACCGTTAGTGTATAATACACTTCCTCTGTCTTGTAATCAATTAATTTGAATGCAGGCTTGCCACCCTTGCTGCTGAATTCAAACGTGATTTCCCACAGCCGACCATCTCACCCCTCCCTACGCTCATGGCTACAATCTCCAATTCTAATTCCAAGCAGGCTGATAACCACTTTTTTGCAACGGTCGTGCAGTCCAAGGATCTCATATCTCTGTACCACGAAGTTGTGCTTTGGATGCTGAAGCGCGACCTCCTTATTACACTGCATCTGCACGTGCGCGTAGTCACTACTGCTGAGCTCAAAGTTCACGTCAGACAAGCTCACGAATGGAAGCTGGAGCGAAGGGTGAGTCATCATCTTCGCGAGCGCCGGAGAAGCAGCCGCAAGGGCGACCATGGCGTAGGTGATGCACACGAGCATCTACGAGTAAACACGCCTTGGTTGTCGCTTTCACCCCAAGCTGCTAGGCAGTACCCAAGACGGTCTATGGACTCGGGGCAGAGCAAGCCCAGCGATTTATCTGGGTCAATCCTTCTTGAGGATGCTGGAGATGTCTTTGACGAAATATCTGAGGAAGATTCAGGAGAGGAGAATGTTGGTTGGGGATCATCTGAGGATACCCTTGAGCCTTCGATAATTAGCGATCCGGGAACAGCGAGCCCGTTGGAGCGAAAATGGTTAGCAGCTATGTCGGAGGGGAAGGATGAATATATTGCAAGACGATTTGCACTGTCAGTTTTCGGTCTGCTTGTTCACCAACGTCCCTTTGACCCATTATCAGGATCAATCAGTACTTTGACGGTAAGCGAACGGACGACGAGGTCCTCTACACAGCAGAGATATCACGCAAGCAGCTTCGAGAGGTGCTGCATCATTATGAAGAATATGTGCGCTCCGTGTTTTGTCGATTGCCCCATACTGATGAGCTACATAGCTACAGACTTTCTTGCATCCTGCGTGACTATATTACGCACACTCGCTTCGTGACTCTCAGTGTCACTCCCACAGATACACTCTGAATACAGTGACGCCACCAAAGTTTGTCGTGCTCGAGGCGCACGATGAATTATGGCGGGCAAGGGGAAGAAAAAGACGCTTGAATTCATCAGTGAATCCTAAACTCACAAAATACCGTTTTGAACGCAGTATATATATTCGCAATCACAGGGGGGAATCATAACTACGTTAGTAGCTGGACAGGATCCACTAACATGTGTGTCTCTTCTTGGAATGACGAGATATTAGTACAAAAACGTCAAAAATTACATTGCTATGGATGGATCAATATTGTAGTGATACATGTCCGAGAGTAAGGGGTTTGGAATGTATTGTGTGTGCTATGAGTATGAGGTGTTTTGCAACTCTGGCCCAACGATAGACTATAGCAAGGGAATCTTATTGCAATAATTACTAGTACGACCCGGATATCCGTATCATGCTCGCAGCGCAACTGACTGCGTTTCAATTATCCGCTACTTGCAATGCCCTTGTGTCGTACATCGAGACTCTGAATATTTCTGTAGTGGATGTGAAGCTTACTTCTGATCCTTGCCGGAATCTCTAGTGTGTCCACTCCCCGAAATTCGCCCATGTCTGATCTATTCTTGTGCAAGTTCGGGGGATCAAGGTCGCCAGCCACCTGTTCGATCGAATAGAACAAGTAGCTGATCGTGAGACTCGGGCCCCCAGTTGAGAACAGGGCATCGAGATTTAACAACCCTATGAGAAAGTACAAAGCGGCGGCCCGTACCCAGTGCATTGCGGCAGCCCAAAAGACAGAGTTGAGAAGGGGATGAAGAGTCCAGGTACTCATCCTATGTCATTCGATTGAAGTGGAATGTGCGAGACCCGCACGCTATCAGTACTTCAGTGCCCATGACACAGTTCCGCTGTATCCATTCATTAAAGTTCGTGTTTATGCATAGTCCGTGTGAACCCAACCAAGCAAGCGCTCAGCTTTACTACAGTCGAAGAATCCTTTCGTGCCACTCTCGACCCAGCCAGGTTTTACTGGCACATCTGGGAAGTACTTCTCCTTTAGTTCCAGCCAGTCCTCATCGGCGGCCAGCTGAGGCGCAGCAATAAAAAATGTCTCGTGCCCTGTCCAATGGCCCATGTGCACGGTCACTGCACGCAAGAAGGCGTCCGCTGCTGAATCCATTTGGACGTAGCTCCAGAGGTCGCCTCTGGCGCGGAAGTAATCTTGTCTATAGGCTCGTGCGCGCGTAGGGACAAACCAGTGGATGCGAATGCTTGCAACTCGCATGGATGGGTATCTTCGGACGATAGTATTTGCTTGCATCTCAGCAATTCTGGCAGGATTTAGTCAGGCTCTATTATTATTTCTTCGATGAGACAAATCTGGGATTAATCACAATTTGGAAAGCCCATAAGGTTCGTCAGGCTCGCATGGGTGATTCTCATCGATTGGAAAGTAGTGGAAGATAGGCTCTGTGCTGTACACCCCACGCAAGACATTGACTGAGGATGCTAGTGCGACACGATCTATTCCTAACTGAGGATATTTAGTCAACATATTATCTGCAGGATATTTTTCTGAGTCACCTCAGCCGCTGCACGCAGGACATTCCAGGTGATCACGACATTGCTACACATGGCGGGTGTGGGCTACTTTTAGTAACTCGCAGTACTGTGACGGAACGGACCTCTTACTCGTTATGCACCTTGGTCTTGTAGTCCATTGGTTGTGCAAAAGCTGCCAACTGGATGATTGCATCACAACCCTCGAAAACCTTCAAAGTTGTATCAAAGTCCTTCAGGTTCACTGAATGGAAAGAGAAGGCAGGATTGTCGAAGAAGTCGGTATCTTGTGCAATAACACAGTCTACGCCGATTACAGTGTGTCCTTCCTTCAGCACCCAAAGCACAACGCGTCTCCCTACGCCCCCATTGCATCCGGTGATAGCAATCTTCATCGCCAATGCAGTCAGATGGAAAGAGAGGGAAAAATTGGCCCAAAGTGTGCTCACTGTTACTTGATTTATCTTGGCGAGTCTCCGTCAAGGTCAGGAGGACAGGACCCGGGCCGATCCCTATATGTAACGACATATGTAAGTATAGCCCCCCAATGACCAAACTTGTAGGTATATTGGTGAAAAGCAACGAGGGTGGCACCACTTTCGCCAAACTTTCGCTATGTAGCTGGATCTGAACAGTATATAGTATTGGCTCCGGGAGTAAAAAAAAGTGAAAACTTTTGCAGTGATGCATAAGTAAATGGAGTAGTCGGAGACCTACTAGGTACTCGCTCATTGTCAACGCGAGTGTGCACGGACAGACATGCGGAGTCTGAGAGTCAGTGACGACTTTTATGCCTCTTGTTATTCTTAAGCTGGACTATGGGTATGTACAATGACGCGATCAACGCCGCTGAGCTACATTAATCATCTCTATCTCGGAGAATCCAAAAATATTGAGAGAATGTTTCAAAAAATGGACAAGCAAGACTGTCGGTCTGTAATTGTCGGGGAAGAACTTGGACCCGACCAAACCAACTCTCGCCCATGCATCAACCATGAAGTTAGCCCAAAAGACTACCCAAAGCCAAGTCCACAGCAAGCCCAAAAATCCACTAACACGTATGCCCGTGCACCTCTTCCACATGCCCTCAATAATTAGACCGATGGCTTGTGTGATGAAGAACCCAAACACAACAACAGGATGACCACCTCGTTCCATTGCCTTCAATCCAAGATAGTGCAGAGCGCCTGAGGTGAGGAATGCGCCCATCACCCCTCCAGTGCGACCAAGCAGGTATGACAATGGTCGAGCGCCGACTGATATGAAGCACTCCCGGAACAATTGATGCCACTTGTGACCCCAAAAACTGGTCAGCGATGTCGAGAGCCACGGAGTATCAAACAAAGGCGGCCATTGAGACGGTGCTTGTCTGAATAGCAAGACGAACTCGATGGTGTGTATCTGATACACCAATTCAATCACAAAATATGCTGTCCAACCAGAGAGGATCGTAATGATGGTAGACCGGGTATAGCGACTGAGGGGCGGCAATGATGCGTCAAATATTGTGCCCCCTTCAGTTGATCCAAATGTCTCCGGAGAAAAATCACGAGCGGCTCCAGAGGTGGCATCAAATGCAAGTGCATAGAACAGTAGCTTCGCGAGAGTACTGAGCAGGAACTCTAATGTTGATTTTGTTCCACAACTACTCTTTGGAATGCGTAGGCCTTCTGCCCAATCCCACCCAATCCCGCGAAGGTTAACTGATAGATCCCATGCGTTCCAGATAGCGGTAAATAGTGGGGTATCGTCAACATCGGTCAACTGGTTGCTTGTACTGCCTGACAAGGTATCACCATGGAATGTTCGGTTTGGTTGCAAAGCGATCCGTTTATATGGTTGTGGTGCGAAAGCCCAAGCGGTCGATCGCATCGAAAGGGTGAATATGGCGAGCTGAATGATAACAACTGGATGAGACCTGGGCTCCTCGTGACAGACAACTTCTTCAGTGCACTCACAACTAAGCCTTGATTAAGGAAACGGTAGTTAGGAATGCCAAAAGAAAGATCGAGCGACGAGCCAGCTCGACATGCGCACAACAATGTGACTGGAAGCAGCGCAATGCGGACCATTGCAGTGCGTTTTCGTTGAACCAGCACGCCCATTGCAAAGTATGAGACGAAGGCTGGCAAGAAAAATGTCGAAAAAGACGACGCCGACAACACAACTCTCTCCTGAGGTACAAGTAGCCTACCGAAGCTGACCATGCTGAGAACTTTTGTCAATAATGAACTGCCATGAACATGTCGGAAATGCGGCGTACTCTGTAATGTATGTCCAACTGAGCTCCAAACCGTCAAGTGACCTATACGGATGTACTGACAGCAAGACAAATTTTGTATTTGGTTACGGCATAGAGTTTGGAACCACACTAGACGAATGAAAATAAGTACTATAGTAGGCTACTCGGTACCTTCAGGCTTCAAAGTCAAAGTTGCCTCAATTGAGGTAAAGTTCCGATTCACAAAGTAAGCAAACGTCAATGTGATGTGATTCGAAGAATGATTGCTACGCGATGAAAGTCGCTTTCCGCATTGTATCTCTCACATACCATCGTTTCCTCGGATCGCCCTCATAACGAACACTCCAACTTCCTGGATAGCCCAGCCCATAGCCTACGCATTTTTCCCGTTGATTAAAATCTGGCCTCCAATAAGTAGGAGGCGGACGTTCGTAAGGCGGCTTCTTCTTGACTGCTTTGCCCCGTGTCTTGTATGATTGCAAATCCTCAGGGAAAGCAGTGGGGAAAACGATGCAGGTTGCCCGCAACGAATGCGGGGAATCGATGGCACCAGGTATTGGTGGTCGCAGTGCCTGCCTGCGCACTGTTCCGTGTCGGTGACTTTCGGTGACCATCACTGCAGGGTGAGGAACTGGCAAATTGCCTCTCATGCGGATAACTTTGTGAGCGTCTTGTACGAATGGCTGAATGGGAGGATTTTTTACAACGCCAAAATTTGTGAATAATGTATATTACGCACCTTGAGGTGCTGTTGCGACGGCGTGCCTACCCGTACAAAGTCTACGGCTACAGACTGGGCGCGTCTCATCCGTTCGTCGGCCTGGATGGGACTGTCTTCACAATCAGGTGATCTTGTTCTTCATACAAGGAAAATTATGAGTGGAAGAAAAAGTCAATATAAAGTAAAGTACTTTGGCTTGGGTGGAGGTTTCGGGATGGTTGATATGATCCTTGGAGGTGTTCTACTGGAAAGTAGACGGAATGCTGTATGGATGAGCCGTCATGAAGCGTTTCTTACAGGTTTGGATACATACATATCAAGCCATCTTGTACGTCCGGTGGCGTTGTCTCGTTCCCATTACATCGCTTTTTCTTCCTAGGAGGATGACTAGAAGCTATTGATAGACACTCCCCAAACTCTGAGAAAAGGTGCTCATGCAGCTTGCGCTTCGAGGTCGTGACCTCAACGTCAGATGTACCGTCCGCGTCCACGAGGGGGTCCACGTCAGACCTAAGCTGTGCTCGAGACACGAACTCAAAGTCTTGACCCTGGAAGTGCGGATTGGCGAACTTTGGGATCATGATCAGACGTTGTTGTGGTTTGTTGTCCAAAAGCTTCTGAAGAGTACTACATACATCTACTAATAGGTCAGGCACTTGAACTACTCGAAAAATCATCGACATGGCCCCGAAATTGTCGCTGAAGTCGGCTTCAACAACATCAATTTCCAATGCTGGAAAACGAATATCGTCATCTGTTGATTTGCCTTCCAAACTGACGAAGTCGAAGTCAAAGTCGATACTGAAACCTGTGAAGGAGCCTGAAGTTGCTTCAGAAAAAAGTGGAAGCTCAGATGCTGAGGACGATGACCACCTGTATGGTTTTTCAACGGACGAGGATGATTCTTCCGACGAGGATGCAGTTGCTGGCGAAGAGATTGATATTGGGAGACTACCCACTGTCGCCAAGGATGATGCAACAGTAAAGAGGAAACTTGAAAAAGCGAAACGGCATCCAGTGAGTGCATCGACCAGTTATTGACAGGTTATCTCTTACAGTGGAGTAGACTCAAGACCGAGGTGTGATATACATGGGCTGCCTGCCACATGGGTTCTACGAAGACCAGCTGAAGGGATATCTCTCTCAATTTGGGGATGTAACAAGATTGCGTATCTCACGGAACAAAAAGGTATTTAAATTGTCGCTGTAGTGGGCATCGTCTGACAGTGAATCAGACTGGTAGATCAAAACACTACGGTTTTATCGAGTTCGACTCGGCGTCCGTCGCACAAATCGTCGCAGAGACCATGGATAATTACTTGTTGATGGGCCATATACTTAAGTGCAAGATAATACCCAAGGAAAAGGTGCACCCCGAGTTGTGGGTAGGTGCAAATAAAAAATGGAAGGCCATCCCAAGAGATCAGATCGTGCGGAAAGAACATAACAAGGTCCGTCGAATGAAGTTTCACTAACGACATGACTCAGTACTATTGTTGGTAGCTGCGAACTCAGGAAAGCATGCGAAAAGCCGAGAAGCGTCTGATTCAAAGGGAGAACGAGAAGAAGCGAAAGCTGGCCGAGGTTGGCATCAAATATGATTTCGACGCTGTCAGCTATGTAGGCCGTTTTTTTCAACATGCAAATGGCTCTGGCTTACTCCCTGGTGTTGTCCAGAAAAAGAAGCTGAAAACAGTAGCGTCATAATCCAAATTTATATATATCTCGGTGTTTCATCTAGTGAGGAAATATCCTGTAGTACTTTGTCGTCTTATAGCTTCTGCAGTACTTGGCTACCCTAGGATAGCAACCTTCCTCATATCAACTTGCAGGTGCTCTGTCGATTAGTTCCTAGTGCAAGCTTAGACAGCTCTGCGAAGGCAGAATGTGGTGTGCGTACTCCTCCAGCTCGACCGGCAAGTCCCAGGGCCATGCTAGCCCCTTGAGTGCATCGGTATTGAGGCCTGGAGGCGCTTCCGGACATTGCATGGTATGTTTGCTGGTGAGTGCGAGCACTTTTCCTGAAAGCTTTGGAGAAGAAACGTTGCCGGGGCTTTCCTTGCTGCCATAATTATGTCACATCAATACTGTATCTTTCCATGAAACTCGCAGTTTATTTCATTCATGTGTTTGGGTACCAAGAAGGCAAGCTCAGACTAGCATTACATGGCTACTCTTCATTGTCATTACACGCACTGTTTATTAGCTATTGACACGAGCAGCTTGTACCGATACAAACCGAGGGTATTCATAAATAGTGAGCGCGGCCCACGGCCAAGAAACCGTTTTCAATGTCCTGCACAGTGGTATATGCCTAGGATGTTGCTCCAGGAGCGCCTTGGATATAGCCTTCCTGCTTCTCATTCGAAATATCTTCAAGCGATCTTTGCTTTGTTTCGGGGATGAGAAGTGTCGAGAAAATACCAGTCAACATAAAGAAAGCAAAGATCTCCATGCTAAAACTTAAATTTAGATCCTGTGCGTGGATTAAAATTCGTGCTGCTCACATATGATTTATGAATTTGTTCGTGCCACCGATGTTAGCCAGCTGAGCAAAGCCAACCTGGGCTATGATAGCTCCAAGCTTCCCAGATGCAGCGGAAATACCATGGCCAGTTGAACGGTAACGAGTGGGGAAAGCCTCTCCCGGAACGACAAAAGTGGTCGTATTAGGACCGAAGTTTTGGAAGAAGTTGGTGAGGCAGTACAGGAAGACAAAAGCTTTGTTGTTCGAGGGGGTGTTCAACTTATCATAAGCGAAACCTGCCAAGAAATTATCAGTCTCATGTGTCAGGATTCATCGGGGTAGAGTGTACGGACCCATGATGACAAAAAGGATGGTGAGTATGGTGAAGCCCATTAATTGAATAGGCTTGCGTCCCCAAGAGTCGATAAAAAGGAAAGATACCCAATATCCTGGAATCAAGCCCGCAACGGAGAGGATAAGATTGCCAACACAAATGTTGTACAAGTTCTCGTAAACATAGAGCGACGTGGATTTTGCGCTAGTGGGGGCCCCAAAGTTGATTGCGGTCAAAATGATTGAGCTGTTGAGACCAAGGCCGTAGAAAGCGATCTGAACATAAAAAACCACTTAACTTGGAACCTCAGAGCTAAGTTGGAACTTACATCGAGAGCAAACCAGGAGTAGGCAGTGCCAATCAAGACTTTCAAATTCTTCCACTGGCCGAAGTATGCTCGGAAGTCTGCGCGGGTTGCCCTCGGGGCCTTGACACGCTGGACCGGGGCATCTTCGTCAAAGACTGACTTGCCAGTTGTCAAAACGTTTTCAATATCTGTCGTGGCTTGCGCGATATTGCGCTCGATATCCATGGTGAACCGTGGAGTCTCTGGAATGGTGAGACGGAAATAGAGTGCAATTACACCAGGGACGCATCCAAGACCGATCAAGAGACGCCAGGTATGATCGACAGGGACAACGCAGGGGAAGGGGGCACTGAGGATAGAATCCTTATATGCTTCGACAATGATGACACCGATGAGGGCAGCAGCTACAATGGGGACCAATTAACGACTTTATTTTTGGAGTTAGATCAACCAACCGAATTGACCCCAACCCTGTGCAGCGAACACAGCAGTCATGAGACGACCACGTGAACGTGTAGCAGCGAATTCTGAGGAAATGATGGCACTCAATGGGTAGTCACCGCCGATGCCAACCCCCATCTATTGATGGAGCGGTGAGGATCAGAATTTACAGAACTGGATCGCTGTGCTTACAATGAAACGCCAAACAATGATAACGCCTAGAATGTTCACTGCTGGAGCCTCACCAGCAAGAGCCTGACCGAATGTCGCGATGATCATAATCATTAGCTCAATGCCATCTATTAGAGCGCGGGTTATTGCTGGCGGTTGGCTCGGACATGAAATTGAACTTACACATCCGCTTCCGGCCGAGAATATCTGCGAGCCAACCAAAAAGTAATTGGCCCACCAAGTTCCCGACGGGAGTAGCTACCTTGACACCCAAAGATTGGTTGGAGCTGAGCTGGTTTTCTGGTAGGAATGACATATGACATTGACCATAGAAGAAGCTTCGGGATGCTCACTTGTGTTACCATAGACATAGCCCAACATTATGGAGGCGATGTTGATGGCAAAAATGTCGTAGCTGGCGGTAGCTGAGTAGAAGTATTCTGGTACAATAGAAAAACTTACGCATCGGTGAAGAAACCTACACTGGCGACTAGGCAAACCTTGACATGAAACCAACTATAGGGGGTAAGATGGACTTGTAAGAATTAAAATAAAATTGCGAAACTTACGAGAAGGGGGCGTTATCGATTTCTGCTAGAGCAGCACGACGACGCTCGTCAAGCACGGCGACGGCAGTCTGCTCCTTATCATGGTATGATCCATGACTGGATTGTTCATGGTTCGAAGCCATCGCAAGTCACGGGGGATACTAGGTCCCTAGAAAAAATTGATACGATAAGGATTGGGGGGAAATCGCCTGAAGCCGGTAAGTACACGCCTTGCATAGATTTATAACGTTTGGTTTGCGCATACCGGGTCTGGATCGGCCTCATATGCAGCTCTATACTGAAATTGAAATTTGAAATTGAAGCAAGTAAGGTTCCTTACACGTTCAATGCCGATGATCCAATCGGAAGTGCGGTGTTGATGACTAAGCTTTCCTTTTTCTTGCACGTTCAATCTGCGATCATTCAAACGTTTTTCTCGTGCTGGCCAGAACTCTACTACTATCTCGAATTCTGATATTGGGTCAAAGAAGTTATACAGCAATTTACAGCTGGGACGCGCCTCAGGACAGCTGGACAGTGCTCTGCAGTGCTGTGCCTCGCAATAACGTAGAAAGTCGCATGCTGTCATTGCCACGAACAGCATTGAATGTTAAACTTTGCTGACAAGTGATGTGCAGATCATCCATGCCGAGTTGTCGAACCAGCACCTACCAGGATTAGTTCCGGTGATCAAGCTTACAAGCTACATATAAGGTCTTGGATCTACTTCATCTATATCACACGTATCTGCGACTTACAATCCAAATCGACATCCGTCAAGAGACTAGGTATTCTTGCTACTTTGTCTCACGATCAACACAACATCCCGCGCGGTGTTTGTGTCGCAGGGTTGGTGCCTGTTCATTTTGAGGCAACGTCTTGGCTCGTACGTATAGGCGGGACAGTTACATAAGTGCCACAACAGCCTCAACTCACTCAACAAGGGGTTCTCAAGGTTTCAAGCTAAGTCCTTCGGAGTTCGTCAACGATACCAGCACACCAGCAAGGGTCAAGGATGTATCCGTAGAATAAAGACTTGGAGTGAATTTTGTTAAAATATGAATGACGATCCGAGAACTTGAATGCGTCCTGATGACTTCGTCTGTACACGTATGCGGTTTCCACACGTTCTTGATCGATGATACCGGTTATCATTCCCTACCCTTTGGCCCAGACACTTAGGAGAGTTCCATGCGGATCTATACTACTTGTTGCAATCAGAAGGGACCACGCGTTCAGGATTTCACATGCATGAACTTGTGATTGTAACGTAAATCTTTTGCTGTGGACACGTCCCTGTGAGTCTAGAGAGGCCAAAGAGGGTGCCTGTCCCTCCACCAACCAGTGCAAGAACTCCAAGTCGGCGTAAAGCTCATTGGAAATCTAGGCTGTGGCTGTGGCACAAGGTGGCACGTTCCAGTGCCCAAACTAGTAGAGTTACCTATTGACTCCCAGTACCGCTGTTCAGGGTCAGAGCACGTTGGACTCAGTCAATTGGACCACGACGCTTCGGCCAGAGATGGCTTCGAAGGCAACTCGACTCAGAGCCCTCGCGCTTTACAAGGAACTCCACCGACTGGGCAGAGATTATGAACCTTCGTATGCTTTAATTTCACATCTGCCATAAGTGTCCAACCAAATCCACATTTGCACTTTAGATATGACTTCCATGGGAAGCTTAGACGCATGTTCGAAAGTGGGCTGGCTTTACATGATAATCCCGTCGTGCGACGTTACCGATGACTTTCATTTCCGCAGAGAACCGGAACCTCACTGATGATGACGAAATAGAGAAGGCGCTCAGGTTTGGAGAATATATCAAGAACGGCGAGTTAAAGGTGGTTTAAAACTCCTTGCTTCAACTCATCAAACGTGCCAGAAACCCTTGCCTTGTATTCGCTTCGCAAATATCGACATCTGAAGCGGATGTATCCTTCAAACACTGCGTCCGATACCTGACAGATCGTTATCATCATTCTTGGCATCGGCCGAACTCAACCCTCTCCTTCATGACAACGGATGTTGTTGGAAGAGGAGTCCGGAAGAATAGTGAGGCGCGCGGGTGCGAGAAAGTTCAGAAACTGCCACACATTGCTGCATTGATGACTTCATCGTTGTCTGGTATCCTATCGCTCGAACAGTTGACTGAACCATGCAAACTTCACTTATCCACTGGACTTGTTGAGGGAAGTTTGCAAATGCCTTTATGGTGCGCAATGCGAATCCCGGCTTGAAATTGTTCACATATTGCCGAAGAATGTTCATTGCATTTGCTCAGAAATTGCGGAAGAAGAGACCATTTCATTTCCAGGAACAGGAGGAACTCTGTAATCTAATCAACGTGTAGCCTTATCACCTCTCGGTAAAGTTCTCCGCATGTTTGAAACTTCAATTTGTTTCTCGAGGTGCACCAAAGAGCAGGACGCAAGACCAAGCAGCATATATAAAATTCACTATTGGCCCTGGCTCTTACCGTCAACTTGAAATTGACGATTCCAGGACGTTCAAACTTTGGAAAGTTTGAATTGAGGTGGGGTTGTTATTTGTTGCGAGGCTGCCAGGCTGGACCGTGATGTCTATTTCAATTTGCCGAGCCCAACTTGAAGTCGGGTGCATGCTGCATACTGCGGTATGCAGCCCATCTTGAGCTCTTTGTAGTACGTATGTAGCCTAGACATGTATTTACGTAAATGGTAGTGATAACAACCTGGATCAGCCAATGAAAATCCACTGGAACACGTAAGCACTAAGGAGCTCGCCATTGACATTGCACATTTACGTGGGACAACCGAGAACTTTTTCAAACTTACATGGTGGTTTCGGACAATGGTCCACTCAGTGCAGATCTCGGAGGATTCGAGATCAGTATCCACAGGCGTTACACTCCAAGTTGATATTTGCTATCCGAGACCGGACCTGGATTCCAAGAATCTGGCGATCCTCTTGCATCCCTGGTCGTGGCTTGGGGGCAACATGCATGAACCGTCAGTGCCATGCCAGTGGACAGGCCCTTGTAGATACTGATGGTGGGTCTCAAGGACTTTGAATGTGCTCACTAGATTATTGCAAAGCAAGAACTACTACGTGATACGGTATAATTCGCGAGGTGTCGGCAAGTCCAGTGGATGGCCTTCCCTCACGGGCAAAGCGGAAGGCGAGGACCTCAAGGCTCTTGTGCAAGATTTTTTGGCAGAGAAACCGGAAATTGATTCTTTGACGGTTATTGTGAGCACAACATCCCCCAAAACGTTGATGCACGCCTTGATGCAAGCCTGCAGGGATATTCTTATGGCTCTTTGATAGCTTCACTCCATCCCGTTTTGAACCCCAAAGTGAAAACATCACACATACTGTTATCCTATCCCATCAGCCCAAGAGGATTACTAACCATGTTCCACACTGGCACGTACAGTTTGGCATTACGTGACATCTTATGCAATCCTGACGCCAGACTACTTCTCATATACGGAGACAAGGACGAGTTCACGAGCAAGTCCAAATATGACGAGTGGGTTGATACACTCAGGCGAACAGATGGCTTGAAGGCTAAGTTTGATGTTGTTCCGGTGATGGATGCAAGTCACCTTTGGCAAAGTGACGGCGCTAGAAGTGTGTTACAGCAGGCTATTGACAGCTGGATATCCGAGTCATGATACGCTATTATGTCAACGACTACCTCCATATGTTGTCTTGTACCATATTACTGCTTAATACTATAGCTGTGTCTTGTCGTCCTTGTTTCCGTTATTTGCCCAGCAATATATTTGGTGCTACCAAAATCGGATTGAGTCACTCATCAAACTGAAAACAACCATCATCTTCTGTGTCCCCTCATCACTTTTTTCAACTTATCTGCCAGTCAGGTTTTTCTCGCTCTGTAAATTTCTTTCTTTTCTTCGTTCTCTTATTCTAACCTTCATCAGGGCGCGCCATGTAAGTCGTTAGTGTTCTGTTCTAACTTGCGGTTCTCTGACGGATGATGTCGTGCAGGCCTCTGCCAGATGAGAGACCTCGTCAGAGCGTTGCAAATCTCATCGGACGCTTTGAGCAGCAGAACAAACGCCAGTCGTCCTCTGTTGCGTCTGCGATCCCGCGCAGCTCCAGTGTGTCGTCACAAATTGCCGGTGATTCCGCGAAAGAAGATACAAAGGAGAAGAAGGAGTGGCCGCCTAAACATGTGACATCCACGAGTGCAGATACAACTGCGCTCACACCGTCCTCTTCCCTTTCCGCCGCCCAGAACACGCCGCCACCCATAAGCCCTCAGCCCATGACAGAGAAGCTGGCGGAGACCACCATGGCTACATCCGCGCCCCCAGAACCCGCAAAGCCGCCCACAGTGAAGAAGCAAGCCTCTGGGAAGGCCACGCCCACTTCTGGGTCTCGGATGAACCCGACTTCACCTGCAAAACCACGCCCCTCTACCGCATCGATCAAATCTCCAGTAAAGTCTCCACCTAAATCTTCGCTCTCTTCTTCTATCTCTCAGCCCATCAAGCCACAACATACAGGACAATCGGCTGCTTCCAATACTTCCACTGTCCGTAGCACCCCCAAATCGGTTCCCAGATCAACACCCGTTACTCCTTCTCGACCGAAAACGCCAGCTGTGCATACGACCAATGTATCTCGTCCAAAGACGCCTTCCTCAGGTTTGTTTGCACCTACAGCAGCATCTCTTGCTCGCTCTCGTAATGTCCCTCCACCCGCTCCTCCGCCAGTAAAGAAGGCAACACTCAGCAGCAGCTCGGCCGAACGATTGAGCAAGCCTACTGCTGCATCCATGTCGAAGGCGCGCGCTCCTCCTCAAGCGGCTAGCCCTATTCGTACCGTCAAATCGGCGTCTGCAGGTCTAACTCCTCGCGGTCCGTCGAAACTTAGGGTGGGATTAGCACCTGCAAGGATGAAGGAAGCGAAGGCGCAGGAGGATGCAACCAAGGTTGCTACCAGCGATGTTGACCATGAGCTCGATCATCTAGAATGCGGATATTCTGAGAATGGGCATGAACCAGAGGAAACTGTAGTTTCAGAAGGAACCATCGATTTGCATGACGAAGTTCGTGTTCACGTCGACGAGGTACCAGCTGTAGGGATCCGAGGGGTTGTAGAGGAAGGTGCGGAGGGTATCGTGGAAGTCTTGCCAGATCCCGAGGCAACGCATGCTGAGGTTCATATTGACGCAATGGCGGTGAACGACGTTCCCCAAGTTTCTGAGCCTGAACTGCACCCCGAAGCTGTAGTTAAAGAGCTGCTGTCCCATGGGGATGTCAACTCCAATGGTTCAGTTGAGTCCCAAGAACTCGCACCAGAAGAAACTGTGCATAGCGCGGTGTCTGAGATTCCTGCAGTTGACGACGACATCGAAGACATGGTGGTCATGCTGGAGAGTGTCTCTTTATCGAAGCACAGACCCCGAAGCATCGTCAGCATCCCGGATGAGCACGGAGAAATTCCTGATGAGGATCAGTCGTAATGACCTAGGTCCGCCAGAAGCATTGTAAATGAATCCGTTGTTTATCATGTGCATATGGTTGGTGGTGAGTGATCACCTCTGTTGCATAGACCTTGGCGCTGAAACGACATCGCTCAGAGGTCTTTCCCAATACGTTCATTTAGTGGTTCTGCATTGCCGATTCTGACCTTTCTTCCTTGTTATCTTGCTCTGACACTTTGCTTTGCTGCCTTTTCTCGACTTCAGCCCTGAATTTTATTACTGCACCGCCGCCGCGGCATCATCACACCCGTTTTGTTACTTTCGTTAAGTCCCTCCCGAGCTCATCCATTACGTCTGGTTCCGGGATACAGCATACCCTGACTTTCCGCACATACAATGGCACATTTCATTGAGAGCAAATATAATATATGCATGGTCCACACTTTATGCGCGCACTACTTATCAGGGGATGCTTCGGGTAGACAATAGGGAGGTTGATGTTCAACGTAGAGACAATAAAACTACAAATGCAGGCAGATAACTGTACACGGGTATATGAGGTTACACTACTGCAACGATTGAAAAGCCAAGGTATCAATAGCAAGCAGATTATCCAGTACGAGTTTTCTTCCTCAATTTTGCCAGTTTCCCGGCGGTGAGGGTGCGCCTTATTGGTATCGCCCTCTGGCCATCCTCTTCAATTCGCTAGAGACAAAAATCAGTCACATCCATGGCTTTTGAGGTGTTTCTCACCTTCAGCGTGAAGGTGCACATCTTAAAGCCTTTCTTTCCGTCTACCATCTTAGCCTGGTCTCATCAGTAATGATTCATGGTATGGCGAAAAGAGCCAGCACCTCATCAACGACATACAGCCCGTCGTAACGATAACTAAACGTGGATCAGTAAAGTGGGTAAGGAGCAAGCGCACTTCCCTCACCCATGGCCTGGAGAATAAGCGTTGTCGTCATTCGCTCCGCGTACAACTCGCACTGGACGCTTGGTTGTGGAGGAAATCTACTCAAGATATTAATATTACTAGGAAGAACTGCCACAAATGAGATTACTTACGAACAAGGCTTTATTAGCTGGAGTATCGGGTGACTGGTCGCTTATTTGTTTCTACAATGCAATGGTCACAAGTTTATAGGACGAGGGCTTGATATCGCTTACTCCATCATCATCTTGCCCACCTGAATAAGGGTTAACAGTGAAAAGCGAGCACCATAACACGACGACTAACCCGAGCCAACATATGTACTGAACGAAATCGAAGTCACATCAGTATGTAGGATGGCCAAGTAGCAAACGGACGTACATAGTGTTCCCCCTGTCGACATTATCCTCGTACCCTTTAGACAAACAAATGGAAAAGGCGCCGAGCTCATGATCCCCGTGTATGCCGGCTTGGCGTAGGACATGTACACCTGCTTCGGCTAGCGTAGCTCTACGAGTATTGACAGGGCAGGGTGTGAATTCGTTGCGGCATGACAATCATCCTCTATGCACTCACTTTGAGGTGAAAATTGCGCCAACCCCCACGCCGCTGATATGTCCAAACGTTCGCCCATCGCTGTATCAAATACAATATTTGCACAACATTTCATAAACAAGCTGAATTCGAGCTTACCGCGATGTCATCTGGCGGTTAACGTTCAACGTAGTTGATTTACCGAGCAATTGAGTCTTACCGTGGGAACGAGAGAGAAAGTGATGTCAGCTTGGTGCGAGCGCTGAGCGAAGAGTAAAGGAATCAACACAGGCCTCAAAACTGGGTGAATTCTGATACTGCTCCAGATGCATACACGCCATATTAAATACTGAACGAGACTCAAAGGGGAATATCGAAGAAACGAGTTGATTAAAGAAATAAGACAAAGGCTGAAAGGGACAATAATAGATATGGCAAAGGGTCAAGGCAGATTATACAAAGACTACATAAGGTGGTTATCCCTCATTAATTCATTGTGCAGTTGTAATCCCCGGAACCACCGTCGCGAACGTCGCGCCAACATCTGTTGTCATCAGAGAACCCGCCTGTTTTCCCAGGATGCTTTACATTTACAATATCTGTGGCTTACCGGTCCTATGATGGCAATGCGACCGCATCGCTTTGATTGGCATCCGAAGTCCTCAGAGAAGAAGGGGGATAATAAGTAAACGAAATATCATCGTCTTGCAGCTGTTGAACAGGTCAAGTTGCAAGGGGGAGTCATGAATCGAGCTTGCATTCTTCCTATCATCTGCTAGACTGTCTCAAACAGCCTATCTGCTCTCTGTGGGATGTAATTGCTCGGAAACCGTTTTCATTGGGTTCTGGAAGTAAAATGTCGTGAAGTAAAATAATACAGTGCAGAAATTATTCATCTACAGAACCCTTCGCGCTCGACAGAGGTTCGACGCTTTCCGTAACATCTTCTGGTCCATGAGGGAAATAATATGGTATGAATTTTCTGATTACAACCTCGTGAATGAAGACCCGTGCAAGAGCATTATTGCCACGTACTCGTATACCTTCTGGTCGCCGTCTCTCCCGGTAAAAATGACAAATACTACGTGGTCCAACTGAAATTTTACAGTTATGCTTATCCAAAAGTCACGAAGGGGCTCCCACTCACCTGGTTATTTTCTTCCAAGAAAATACGTGTCTCCTTGAGCGCGACATGAGCTGCCTCGTCGATCGGGTATCCATAAATGCCAGTTGAAATCAGGGGAAAGGCCTACGCGTCAATCAAAGTGGCATCACGACATTGCTTGTCAGAGTAGAGAATTGTTGATGGCTCACAATGCTCTCGCACTTGTTGTCTACCGCTGACTGAAGACTTATTCTATAGCAGGACGCAAGCTGACTAGCCATTGTCTGCGTGTCTGAATAAACACTCCATCTCGGTCCTACAGCATGGATGACGTATTTCCTGACACATAGAATATTGAAATGAGGGCAGTAGAACGAGCGCCGAAAACAGTGCACTTACGAAGGGAGCTGAAAGCCTGGGGTAATTTTAGCGTCTCCAGCTGGACAAGGATGCCGCCCAGGATACAATTCTCTGCCTGTATCAAGTGAATGGGATAAGGTGAGGTTGTGACTAGCGCTGTAAAGGGGAGCAGATCGTACATGCTTTGGCTAGTGCTGGGCCAGCAGCCATATGGATCGCCCCATCCACTAAGCCTTGTGAGTTTCATATGACGGATGCACTTGAGAGCTCGACAGACCTCCGCCGCCACCTATGGTTGCAGCTAAGCGCTGACTCATTATATACTATGGACCACGATGCGACTCACCTTGCAATGTCGAATTGGCAGCGTTGACGATTGCATCCACCTCGATTTCAGTGATATCACCTTGACTTATACGAAAGTTAGAAGAGAAGAATTCAGAAGTGCACAGTGACTACTGGCTAACCAGAGATGTACACGACTCAGAAGCGATCGCTTGGGAGGATAAATGGGCGTTTCAACGTCCTGGATAGCAGCATTCGCGAAGAGTTCGCCCACAGTACGAATACTTTGCGGCTGAACTCGATTGGGCATTTGGTTCAGAGTAGGAGTTTGAGTGGTCGCGAGGTGATTATCAGGAGTCAGGCCGCCTACTTATAGGGGAGACTACGACGCCACTGAGTATGTAATTCACGTGCAATGCATATGTAAGTAGTTAAGACTGTCGTCCCTTGACAGTTACGCCAAAAGGCAGTGATAATCAAAGCTCGCTCTTGATTATCGCGGACACTGGTATTGATGCTGAATATGGGAACTCAGGTAAGCCAATGGGCTGCCACTCAATCGACCACAGCACAGGACAAGGAAGAGCCCGAGTATTGCAAGATTGAAAAAAGTTCTTTCTTATTCAAGTCGAATACAAAAAGAATGAAGCCAGCACCTACTAGGATAATGGATGTTGAACGGGTGCAAGCTTATTATTTACGAAGGTAGATACATCAGCTAGAATGCTGCTAGCAATGATACTGCATACATGCCACAATGCGAGCAAGGAAGTGCAAATGTGTGCGTAAATCGGTAATGCGAAAGACTCCGGGAAATATGAATAATATGAATGCTTCAGTTAGAAGATACAACATTAAGTGCACACTGTGCATCTAAAAAGCCGAATACAAATGAGATGCAATCCAGGTAGCGGAAACTAAGGACGGACCGTTAATATTAAGGTAAACAGTCATATGCTAAAGAGGTATTGTCATATGCTGGTGCAAAGTGGTATCCAAAGCTGGAGAACCAGCTCGAGATCTATCTCCCATCGTTGTGGTTGGAACAAGGGTGTTTGATATTGACTGAACAACCGGAATTTGGTCAGAATCTAAGCTCCGTACGACAGTGGTGATGGGCTCGTTATGAGGATAATACGACCTGCGCTTGGTGGACATAAAGTCATAAACGGTGAATCTAGTGACAAAAACGAATTAGAATTATCATGGCAACCTGTATAGCGGACCTACTGCTCTTCCAACTGCCTCACTTCCGGCTTCATTTTGGCTAAGTCCGGATTTGCTTTGCGTTTTGTGTGGGTCAGTGGTTTTTCAACCATTAGGAACTCATCGAGTTCGTGAGTTACATCAAAATTAGCTTTCTTCATCTGCAGGAGGGTAAATATGAGATCGATTAACAATTCACAATACTCACGTCTGGAACAAAAGGAGGCTGAACTTCCTTCATGTCTAATACTTCCCAATTCACGCCCTGTAGCCATGCATGGTTTTGAATGTCTTGGAAACCTTGACCGTGTGGTCGGCAACCTAGACGTTGGCTAACATTACGTTCGAGTAACTGCAACCAGATTAAGAAAAGGACAAATGCTAACGAGTGGCAGCACTTACTGCTTGCACAAACTTCACGCAGTTTGAGCTGTATTTCGTATGGGCATCATCGGGAAACCGCAGAGGATCCTTGAGGATAGAGTTGGTCATCTTCTCAGATGTGCGTCCATCAAATGGGCGTCGTCGGAACAACAACTCGTAGATTGTAATACCAAAACTCCACCAGTCGACACACCACGTGTATCCCTTCCTTCCAACGACTTCGGGAGCCATATATGCCATACTTCCAGCGACACTAGTGTGTAACCGACGCTCCGAATAATGAATGGCAACATTGAAGTCAGTGATATGCGCATGGCCCTTTGCATCAAGCACAATATTATCTGGTTTGAGATCACTGCGGCTCCAATTAATGGCTAGGGTATTCCATTGCAGAACAATCTCACCGATGAATAATGCGCTGCTTGTGCAAATAGACGAGAGCCGAGGCCAGCTCTGCAGCCCAAAATTGAACTACGTTCTCGTTGAAGTATCCCCTGCTTTCCAAATGGACTAATCGTGGCACACGATTTAAAAACACAACAACAAAACAAGGCTGCGATTGACTCACATCGGAGGTCTCCACCCAGCATGAGGTCGAGCACAAAGAAACAGTTTTCGTCATCTTGGAATGCATATCGCAAGTTGACAATGAAAGGGTGGTCGATCTATAAAGGTGGTTTGAGAATTGAACATGCAAGCAATAAGGCTATGACGTGCCTCCTCAAGTAGTCTCCGTTCTTGTATGATATTCGCCACAGCCTTTTGTTTGATACATCGCGCTTTATCAATGTATTTGAGGGCATAAAGCTTCTTAGAACGCTTGTGTTCGACTACCCTGACCTAAGCAGTCACTGGGTTTATGAGTGGCCACACAAAGAATCAAAGATGGCCGACCTTGCCGAAAGCGCCTTTGCCCACTGCTCTATGGAGGTCGAAATGAAAGAGATTGACTTCAGAATCAAAATCCACGGGTTCAGAAAAACAGCATCCCATGGCTCATCACAGGATAGCGTTGAAGGTTAACGAGCGGGAGAGGAATTTAGGGGACTTTATTGAAGGAAAGAAAACAAAAGGATATTGCTCGCTTGGAGACTTTGTATCTCGATAAGGAACCGCTGGACTCGGATAAGTATATTATTATGTTATTTACGGCATAAAAATTACAACACAAGCTTAATCGCTTCAGCAGCACTCAGCACAACCACCTCTGTGACACGACGACTTGCTTGTTCGAACCACCTTCCAAGTTGGCAACTAGTGGGAGTGATCTAGGACTCTCAGGAGAAAATACGCTACTCCCTAACTCAGCCACCTGCGAGTTCATTTGGTTGACATGGATGCGGAGGAGCAAATAAGTCAAGGGTTGCTCGCTCCTTCACAGGAGTCTTTGGTGTCTGTGAAAGTGTTTCCGCTTATTCCATACCTGAAGAAAGATGTGATTGTGAGTTACATCTTCGAACTCAAGCACGTGTTACGATTGACACTTCAGTCGGCCATCAATACAGAACACTATCGGTGAGAGACTTTATTGTAATGCCTGTATTATTGATACACGTGGTTGACGAACGTCTCAGATAGTCCGCTTAGTTGGGAGTACGTTGGTGTTGCTATATTTTACGGTAGTTCCGGCTGGGTTATTCATGACATCCTCACAGGCAACTCACGGCCTCGGACATCAATTTCGCCATAGTGTGCCCCTTGGTTACGAAGTACGCGAAGCTCAGGAACATGGCTATAGTATACGCGTGCATGGTTGTCCGTTCATACTTCTTAGCACAGTCAGGCTCGGACTTGGTTCACGCCGGGGTGATGTGTTCGCGCGCCACCCTATGTGAGATCATGGCATTGAAGCTTTTGAGTCACTTCGCATCGAGCAAGATCCAGTTGGTAGCTGTTTTGACTACCCTCTGGTGTCCGTTGGCAGGAGCTCCGGACGATGTGATCGAGGAGGTGAAATACGCTATTGGAGGGGAAGATGAGTATGTCGATGACCCTCAGTGTGCCATTGAGGTCAGTTCAGGCCATGTCTGTTTTTTCAGTTAACATTGGTGACCCTCGATAAGATGGCAATCGCCACGAAGGCAAAGACCTTCCTGGCTTCCGCGATTGTTCAGAGCGTTGTGACTGACATATACAATGGGCGTATCATAATTTCCATCGCCGGCAACAGATCGATGGTGCCAGACAATTACAAACAGAGGGCGATCATGTTGTACGACCCACGTACGGCACCGATGCTTGATCATTACAGGTCCATCAGACGTTCGTGCTTTTCACATCGAACTCACATTCTATCAGATTAAGGGTTCCACGATATTCCACGATCTTGCACTTCGTCAACGTAGCCGTACTTCTGGTCGTTTTTCTTGCATGCATATGGAGTAGGTTTTCAGTTTGGCTATGAGTCAGAGTAGCCAATCGTTTTTAGCTCAGGACGTCTCTTGTGTGACTCTGTGGGAGTCTGTATTCTTGGTTTTTGCGATTGCCTTTACACTGCAAGAGTACACGGCTTCTAAGGAGTACGGGTGGGCTAGTCAGTGCACGTTCAGCTGTCACGTCCCGATTTCTGACGTACTTGTACAGTTTACATTTCCAACGTAATTTCATCTTTGGGTCCAAACTTCCTGGCTGAAGTCCGCTTCTCCAGGTATGGAACGTTTTTGACACATCGTTTGTCGTAATATTTCTCGGCTATCTGGTTTTGCGAGTAAAGGGGCTGTTGGACGATGACGGTTAGTTGTGCCGCTCGTGTAGGTGCTTGGGACTCAATCAAAAGTTGCCATTAGCAAAGATGTCTCAACTTGCTTTTGACTTGCTGGCTTGCGGCTGTTGCGTTCTTGCTCCTCGGTATAACTGGACCACTTGTACATTGTGGCTTATTGATTTTCTTTTACAGGCTAGCATTTTTTGCAATATCCAACAATGTTGTCGTTTTGTAAATAGTTTTATCATTCTCTCGTATGTTCCTGCTAATTTCTCTACTGAAAGGGCGTTGCGTGCAATGACAGCTGAATTTATTTTTTTCATCGGCATAGCGGTGGTATGTTTCTCTGGTATCTTGCTGACCTTGTACACCTTGGGTAAATTGTAGATCACTTGCACCGCTAAGTTGAGACTGCTGACTGTTATACCCAAGCTTCAGGTACATGGACAATGCGCAATATCGCTTGGTTGATGGTTCAGATCTGGTTCGGCAGCACGTACCTCAGTTTTGGCCAAGCAAAAAGCTTCCATCCAGTGTTCGGTCCTATTTTAATGACATGCTTCGCGGTGCTGTCGGGCACCCTTCTCTTGACTAGTGCGTATTTGCTGTTGATTATGACGGGGTCGTTGTTGAGTTGGCATGTTAGTTCTCATTTCCATTTTGTCAAATACCGCTGCTCGAATCGATGCAGTAAGTGACAATTGGTAAGTTACTGATCCTGTGCTCAAATGTCATTGCATTTTCAGAATGCCACCCAAGAGGTAAGGGAATCACAGAAAGTTGGTCGGTGGATTACTTGTCTGACTGGGTGACAAGTTTTTGTTTCAAGGCACTATATCGACCATCCAGGGGTAAGGCGCCTTCGATGATGCTTCAAATCGTGATACACTACGACTAAACTTTTTCACCAGCGTAAAATCGGATGCTTTATTCAGCTACCAGCCCCCTTTCAACATTCTCGCCTTCATCATACTCAAACCTGCAAGTTACTTTCTTTCGCCCCGCTCTTTGCATTCTGCGAATGTGTTCCTGATCAGGCTTACAGTAAGCATCTTTTTATTTTCCTAAGCTACCACTTACAGACCGCTCTCTGTACCGTGTTTGTTTACTACAGTCATTCCCTGCTTTGATCGCTATCGCCATGTACGAACGTCTCCTGGCTTCTGAACAGCGGCTGCGCGAGTCCGGCAAGGGTGCTGCCTGCAGTCTGTATCACAGCATCCCAAGACACATCAAGAATATGCCATTTGTCGACTATTTTATCGGTTCAAAGTCGGCGGACTTGTACGAGGCGATTTTCGAGGTCGAGGATTCCAGGGAATTTGATCTTTTTGATGCGGAAGAGGACGAGTCCAGCCTGCGGTCGCCACTTGCATCTACTACTAGACATGAAGACTCTGGGTCACCATCGCTTTTGGAACCGCGGCGCCACGAGAGATCCGCCTCACTTTCAATGAAGTCGCAATCACAACCACCGAGGTCTCGAAAGGTCAGCGCATTGCCTCCGTTATCAGAATCATCAGGCACAGGAAAGATTCTACACCTGAATACGTCCACTCCGGTCACAAAGTTGTTTTCACAACGTTTCAACCACCCATCATCTGCTTCACCAGTAGAAATGCTACCTGATGTCATGACCATGGACAAATTGGACTCCTCCGTCAAGCGGATCGAAGCATTGTTTGAGGATTGTCGTGAATTACCAATCCGCAAACTAAAAGACGAGATGAAAGAGTTACAAGTGAGTGAACATAGCATCATCATAGCATGAGGTGATGAACCGTTTTGTAGGACCGTCAGGCTCGCATCGAGAACATTTTGCTATCCTTGACTCGCGGGATGCGAGATGAGACGGAAATCTTACGACACAATACTGCATAATTAACCTGAGCAGTATGCTTCAATTTAGAGTGCTGCGTCATTTGATCGCTTCCACATTCCTGTTCTCCGACCCCCAACGTTAGCGGAGGAGGGCTCTTGTCTAACACGATCGGTTTCCCATCTCCCAAAATTTCTGCCGCCTGCACCCGTGTTTTTTTTCGGTATTGTAACGGTGCCGGCGCCAGCCCCGACTCGCTCATTCCTGGCATGTTTTGTGTCCATAGAGTTTTTTTTCATTTTGCATTGGCAAATGACTGCCAATCCTATATGATTCTACTGTCAATACATGATGTTCCTCGACTCGTACTACAGACAACCATTTTGACCAGTCTTGCTCAGGTGGTAAGATAAAAATGTGTTGCAGGTTCAAAACCTGCTCAACAATCTTTTTCCTTTTGCCACACCTTGAATATTTGTTCATGGATTCTTCAAGTTCTATCTTACAGCTGTTTGCAAAAGGTTGACAGTAGCGATATTTTGAGAAAGAACAAAACAAATAAATAATAGCCATGTACATACATCATAAATTGACCATCATGTATTGGAAAATCAGTTGTGATGTCAAACTAGCCATGATTAATCTTCATGAGCATCAACACCTTGCACTCGAAGACATCCTTGCTTGCATCGGATTTTTGGAAAGCACATTCTGGTCGATTTTTGAGCTCTGGCATGAAATGGGAGATGTTGTCAGGCATACATTTGGCATTCATGGTTGTCCTCATACCCTTCATTGTGACGATGTACTCTATCTTGTATGTCTCATTCATCATCACCCTGAATGGTTCCTAGATGAGCTCTTTCAACTTCTTGATACCAACTGATTCATCTCTGTACACTATAATACCATTCACTGTGAACTAACACACATTGGCATTTCTCTCAAGAAACTGAAGTGTATTGCAAAGGAGAGGAATGAGGAGAAGAGGATGGGCTTTCTCATTTGCATGAGCCAATATTCACCAGAGCAGCTTGGTTTCCTTGATGAAACATCCAAAGACAAGCATACAGCAGGGCAGCTGCATGGATGAGCAGCCACAGGCCAGCATGCATGTAGCCATCAGGTCTTTGTTTGTGGGTAGTGTGTCTCTGGACTAGGACTTCTGACTGTAGATGGCATGGCTGCTTCAAGTGTCATTGAAGGCTCATTCACCACAGTAAAATATCTTGAGTTCCTTCAATCTACAGTGGTATGTCACTGATTCTAACTCTGGCAAGCACTGCAAAGCTGACATGACTTAGTTGCTAATGTGTTCACCTTATCCTGGACTTTTGTCTGTCCTTGTAATGGACAATATGAAAATCCATCATGGAGAGGGTGTTGTGGAGTTGATTGAAGCTTATGGTGAGTTGCTGTGTCTGATCTAGATGAGTTTGTGAACCATTGGGGATAGGTTTGCCTTGAGTATCTCCTGCCCTACTCCCCAGATCTGAACCAAATCGAAGAAGCTTCTTCAAAGATTAAGACCTTCATCTGTTGCTATCAGGACTACTTCCTTGCATCCAATAGTATCATATTTGACATGTATGAAGCCATGAGTATTGTTATGATGTCTGATGCAGCAGGGTACTTCATTCACACAGGATACTTTTAGTGACAGCAGTAGAATTACATCAAGTCCAATTGGAACTTTCAATACATGTATGACAGCAATATGAATCTATGTACTCAATTTATGGTCTGGTTCTCAATAAGCTAGGCTTCACATCTCTCCATTAGCCCACTGTGCAACTGCAACCTTCATTGCTGCAATCTTACCATTCTTGAATCCCATTTCTTTCAGCTCCAAAACAACAATGTATCTGATGGTCTGTGTTCCCATATATCCATTCTCCATGAGCTTGGCATGAATGTCTGGAGATAGGTTGTACACAGCACAAAAGTTCACAAGAGACAAGTCAGGGCCAGGCTGAGCAGAGATAGGAAGAACAGGGATATCAGCACTGTTGATGAGAGCATTGGTTTGACCAGGAGTGGTTGGCAAGGGTACTGATGCAGGCTGTAAGAATGAAAAAATGTCATTAGGAAGGTTGAAATTGATTGTTGGAACAGTTGATGCAGATGGGCCTGGTGTAGATTGAGCAGTGTTCTGTTCCACAAGATGTTGCTGAATCAAGGGTGCAGAGTTTGATAAGAGGTTAGAGGACAATGTATTGAATTCCTTATGGTTCAGTGGCTTGTTGAGTGTTGTGATAGGTGGTTTTTTGCAGCCTAAACAACAGACTATTCAGCAAGTGCACTCTCCATGTCATTACCTCATGTCACCAAAGCAGTGGCCCACACACTCAAGTGCCAATGACTTAGTGTGAAATGAGTGTTGTTATCTGGTAGGATACAGTGGCTCAAAAAACTGTCTGCATGTTTTGACATTTTTCACTATTGTTAAGAACCATGCTCAAGGGAGAGAGAGACTGACTCAGAGGGGCTTGGCCTCAGCTTGTACGCTGTGCCCCTTACCTGAGTATGTGCCCTTCATTTCAGAGGAAGTCCAATGATGGTCCAATGAAGTCCAGAGGACTTCTGGAGGCTGGCTACTCTGGTGGAGAGTGTGGGAGGACTTCCAGAGGAGCATGGGAAACATCTGGAGGAGCGCAGGAGAGTTCCGGAGGGATGCAGGAAATGCTCAGGAGAGTTTCCACTGCAAGGTAATACTTCTACAGGAAAACAGAATGGAAGGATAGGAGGTCTGGAGGACAGGAGGACAGGATGTCCAGAGGTCTGGAGTATGGAGGACAGGAGGTCTGGAGGTATGGAGGTATGGAGGACGGAATGTCCGAAGGTATGGAGGATGGAATGTCCGAAGGTACAGAGGGCGGAATGTCCGAAGGACAGGATGCCCGGAGGTATGAGGGACAGGATGTCTGGAGGTACAGAAGACAGGAGGTCCGGAGGTCCGGAAAGAATAGGGGCTACATCGGATGAAGTCTGATGCAGAAGCAAACAGAGGTAGACTACCCTAAGGTAGAGTTGGAGGGACAGGAAGTGGACCTAAGTCCAGAAAGAGGGTAAGTGCCAGAAAGGCAAGACTCTAGCCTAGGGAAGCAATCCCTAGACTTGGGACAGAGACATAGGGGACAAATCCGAAGGTCCAGAATTCCGGCCTAGGGAATCCTTCCCTAGGCCTTATGGAAAAGGACAAGACTCAGATGGACTGAAGTCCAGAAGATGATTGGCAAGTAGAACAGGAACTAAGATGAGAGAACAGGAACTAAGATGATATTTAGACTGAGGACTCTACTGTAGTTGTACAGGGGTTATATACTAGAGACTATCTGAGAGGATCAGTAAGCAAAGGAGTAAGGCTATGTACGAGCATGCAGAAACACATTGGTAAGTAAGACGGAACATAAGTAAATGAACTTGGAGATGAAACTAGTACAAGGATCAATCAGCAAGACAGAAACAGAGATAACCGGGAACCAGAAAGGGGGAGATGCCTAAATGGAGATAGGCACAGGATCTCGGACGGAGGGTGGGAATAGGTCTGGAGATAGTACAGTTAATATCTGGAGGTCTGGAGATCTGGGGATCCAGAAGGCAGGGCGGAAACAGGACTGAGATATGTGAGGTGGTGGATGTAGTCAGGAATCCGAGAGGAGGTAAAGTCCAGATGTCTTGCTGGATGGAATGTGCATAGGGTGGACAGGATAGGGGATCCAGGAATGAGTTGGATATGGGGTCCGGAAACAGGTCCGGAAAGCGTGGGAATATGATGGGATCTATGTCTGGCATATGGGATATGACAACTATCTATGATATTGTGTGAGAACTCACAAATACCTCAAGGACATGCTTATAGCACATTGTAGTGTGGCTTCAGGGCTTTCATTTGAGCCCTACACCGTGGGAATCGGTGGAGATATGGTAGAGATATAAGGCTTATAAAATGATGACTCATATGGACAGTTTTTTGAGTGCATATTAAAACTATATAAATCATTATTTATGACACCACAAAAATCATGCCACTATTATATAAATTATGAAGTGGTGTCATTATGTTATTTTATGACTATATCTAACTATATAAACCAGAATATCTCATGTATCATAGTCATAATCACCATGAAAGCCATCTCCTCTGCTCAAAGAGATAATATCCTCTCTCTGTCTTATGCTGGCCTCTCTGCTTGCCAAATTTCCTCTAGAAATGGAGTATGCAAGTCCACTGTGGCCAAGTTTATCAAAGAAAGCCACCCAGACAAGGAAAACTCTTGTGGAGGACATCCATCCAAACTTACCTCTACTGACAAAAGGGCTATTATCCAACATATCACTACAGGAAAGGCTGATAATGTTGTCCAAGCCACCCATTATATCAATTCCACCATCACTACTCCTGTCTCTTTACAAACTGTGAGGAATGTTCTCAAGGCAGCTCATCTCAAGGCAGTAACAAAGAAGAAAAAGCCTCTTCTCTCTATCAAACATAGGCAGAGAAGACTAGCCTTTGCCTTAGCTCATCAACACTGGACTGTAGAGGACTGGAAGCATGTTATATGGTCAGATGAGACCAAAATCAATAGGATTGGGTCAGATGGGAAGGTATATGTATGGAATATGTATGGAAAAAGAAGGGAGATGGCCTAACAGACAGAGAGGTTAATGGGACTGTCAAGTTTGGAGGAGGTTCTTTAATGGTATGGGGCTGTATGGGATGGAATGGTGTGGGAATGCTTGCTGAGGTTGAGGGGAAGATGAATGCTAAGCAGTATGTGGACATTTTAAATGACCACTTGCTGCCTAGCTTGGCAGAATCAGGGATTGATGAAGAAGATATCATTTTCCAACAGGATAATGATCCCAAGCACACATCCAGAAGAGCTAAGGAATGGTTTGAAGAACATAACATCAATGCTCTTGACTGGCCAGCACAGTCTCCTGATGTCAATGTCATTGAACATCTCTGGGGAACACTCAAGAAAAAGCTTTAAGCCTATGAAAACCCCCCTAAAGGAGTATGGGAGCTTTGGGAGAGAGTAGCAGTGGAATGGGGGAAGATCACAGCTGAGGATTGCCAGAAATTAATTGAGAGTATGCCTAGAAGGATAGAGGCAGTAATTAAAGCCAAGGGAGGTCATACAAAATACTAGAATACCTGGTTATTATTGTAAAATACTTGAGTCAAAAAACTGTCCACATGAGTCACCATTTTGTGAGCCTTGTATCTCCACCATATCTCCACCGATTCCCATGGTGTAGGGCTCAAATGAAAGCCCTGAAGCCATACTACAATGTGCTATAAGCATGTCCTTGAGGCATTTGTTTGTTCTCACACAATATCATAGATAGTGAAAAATGTCAAAACATGCGGACAGTTTTTTGAGCCACTGTATGTGCCCTTGATTTCATATGAGGTCTGATGATAGTCTGACAAAGTCCAGAGGACTTCTGGAGGAGTGTGGGAGAGTTCCAGAGGAATGCAGGAAGTGCTCAGGAGAGTTCCCACTGCAAAGTAATACTTCTACAGGAAACAGGATGGAAGGATGGGAGGTCCAAAGGTCCAGAGGACAGGAGGACAGGATGTTCAGAAGACAGAAGGACAGGAGGATAGGACATCTGAAGGTATGGAGGACAGGATGTTAAAAGGACAGGAGGATAGGATGTTTGAAGGTACAGAGGGCAGGATGTCCAAAGGACAGGAGGATATGACGTCCAAAGGTATGGAAAGAATAGGGGCTACATTGGATGAAGTCCAATGTAGAAACAAACCAAGGTAGACTACCCTAAGGTAGAGTCAGAGGGACAGGGATTGGACCTAAGTCCAGAAAGAGGGTAAGTGCCAGAAAGGTGGAGCTCCAGCCTAGGGAATCAATCCCTAGGCCTGATGGATAGGACAGACTTAGGTGGACCAAAGTCTGAGAGAGGATTGGACAAGTAGAACAGGATCTAAGATGATATTCAAACTGAGGAAGCTACAGGAGTATCTACAGAGGTTATATACTGGAGAATATCTGAGGAGATCAGTAAGCAAAGGAGCAAGGCTATGTACGAGCATGTGGAAACACATTAGTAAGTAAGACAGAACATAAGTAAATGAACTCAGAGATGAAGACTCATACAAGGTTCAATAAGCAAGATGGAACAAGAGGTAACTGAAAGCTGGAAAGGTGGAGATGTCTAAATGGGGATAGGTGCAGGATATTGGACAGAGGGCAGGAATACATCCAGAGATAGTTATGGTTAATATCTGGAGGTCTGGAGATCTGATGATCCAGAAGATGAGGTGGATATAGTCCAGAATCTGAGACAAGGTAAAGTCCAGATGTCTTGCTGGATGGAGTGTGCATAGGGTGGATGGGATAGGGTGGTACAGATCAGGCCAGCAGTGAGAATCTGGAGGTCTGGAGCTCAGGGGTAAATCCAGAGCGGAGTTGATCCTGCTGAGGTATGGAGTACACAGTGGAAGGGAATCTAGGAATGAGTTGGATATGGGGTCTGGACATTGTTACGGCGAACTAGGATGGGCACGACGACAGGTACTTGATAAGAGCACACCTGAAGCCGGATCGTGTCCTTACAAATGTAAGGTTCTTAAGACAAGCCAAAGAGAGTGTCTCTGACTTGAATATCGGTTTATCAGACAACTTAGGATTGGGGGTCCTAAGCAAAGGATAGTTCAGGTGAAGACCTAGTAGATTAAAGTGAAGTCTATCTAAGTACATGACCAGGTTTATATAGACGTAGGTCCTTTAGGGCAGGTTCGTACACGTCATCAGTCGAGTCAGAGATAAGGAGATGAGTCAGAGATAAGGAAACGTGGTAGAGATAAGGAAATGAGTCATCTAGTGACGGCACGTGGCGGTCGTGATGTAATACAGATCTAGAAGGTGTTCTGGTCTAGTGATGGCACAGCAAGGTGCGGTCATGATGTAATACACAAGTTATAGGAAAAAGAGATAGGGGGTAACCACGTTGTAACATTACCCCTTGTTTAAGGATGAAGTCACCAACTTCAATTATCTTGGTTAGCCCAGTAAACGGGGTCAGCGTCGTAGTTGGAATAAAGCAGGTCGTCCTGCTCCTCGGTGATGGTGGTTTGTGTCATTTCAGTGGCGTGGGTGATAGCATCTTGCTCAATCTCCCATCGAGCAAGGGCGTCATAGAAACCGATGTCAGTCCATACCAAAGGAATAACTGCTTCTCCCTTCAACTCTCTACAGAAGACCGATAAATGGCCTGGTGCGTATTCCTTGCAAACTCTGCAGTAATATGCAGGGCAGTTTTTATGACGGTGTCCGGCGACATGGCAGTTGCGGCATACGACATTGTCGATTGGCGGTGTTTTTACAACTGTGACAGAAGAGGACTGGTTTGGGGGAGACGGTGATCTTGATCATTTAAGCAGTGCTTTAGTGGGGGAGACAGACGCAGCTCGCTTAGTGGCGAGGCATGAGGATCTTCGTTTAAGTGGGAGTTGTCGTGTGGTACGCGTGATGGGGTCAGGAGAAGGAGAAACTGGTATGTTGAGTACAGTAATAGGAGGGATATTATCATCCTGATGCTCCACGGTAGTCATAGTAGGAGCTGGCGGTGGTACTGGAATGGCGATGTGAGGGGATGGTGGTCGCA